GGGCCAGAGGGGCAGACGACAGAATCCGATAATGGGAGAAAAAAAAAAACACCGATCACAACCCTCCGATAGTTCAGGACTCTTTCAACCATTTCCCGCTCTTTTCCACCTAGTCTCTTTCCAAGTAGACTAGTAGTACTCTTGACTGCACTCAATTTCCACCAGCCCTGTTCCGTGACTAGTTGTTCGTGACACAGGGCGTGCGACAAGGATGTGTGCTATCCCCACTGCTGTTCACCGCCTTCTTTGCCGAGGTCGTTGTCATCCGATTCAGCGAGGATGATGTTGTTCTGCGGAGCCTGGTGTCCTTGGAGAGGGGGGAGACGGAAGCGGGGGAGGGGGAGGAGACACCCCGTGACCGAGTACGGAGGGCAGTATGGGGGATGCTGTATCCCGATGATGCCGGCGTTGTGTCAAGGTCTGCAGACGGACTGATGACCATCACCGTTGAGGTGTTCGGGGAGTTCGGGCTGACGGTATCGAAGAAGACGCGGAGATGCTCCTGATGCGCGCAAAGGACAAGCCAACTACAACATCACATCCCGCCCCGCCTCCATCGCTGACCATCGAAGCGGCGGGACAGAAATACGCCCAGACGACCGAGTTCCGGTAACTCGGTGGCCTCGTCAACGAACATGGCGACCCCACCCGGGAGATCAACCACAGGAGCAGAGAGAGGAGCGTGGGCGTGCCTCAGGCGATATGGCCGGGAGCTCTTCGACAGACCGCAAGCGCCATTCCGACTCAAGATCCGCCTGCTCCAGGCGGAGGCGATGGAGGCACTGCTGTACGGCTGCATGACATGGTCACCACTCAGCGGCCACTATCAGACGCTGCGGTCGATACACCACCGACTGCTCCTTCGAGTTATCGGGTACAAGCGCAAGAAAGACACACACCTACCGGCAGCTCTCTTACGCCCAGACGCTGAAGAGCATTGAATGCCAGAAGAGCATTGAAGCTACGATCCGACAAGACGCCTACTTACTGTTCGCGGGAGCATTGGCAAGGCAGCCGGACGGGCGACTCCCGAAACGACTGATGTTCGGCGAACTGGCAGTGGGGGAGAAGCAACAACGTAGGGGGCCACAGGAACAGAACTGGCCGAAGTGTGTGCTCGACGACCTGAAGGCATTCGGGGCCGACCACGGATGATGATCTACGAAAACTCGAAAACCGATCCATGTTGTCTCGGAATCCCGTACCGAAAGACACGGCACCGACGTTATAGTGGACGGATCCAGGAGACTTGGTGGGTTGAGGGGCGAGATCTACTTGCAGGGGCGAGATCTACTTCAAACGAGAGTTCCGCCGCGTTGCAGGAGAGAGATCCACTGATCCACCTCAAACGAGAGTTCCGCCGCGTTAGACGCGTTAGGTCCGCCTCCGCACGCCGTCGGAAGCGTCGGAACTCGAGTGCGGGGTGTTGGTGACGTGTATTCGTGAGCGTGGTCTGCTGGTGGTCTGTTGGTCGAAGAGCCCAGCCATTTTCGGTAGGCGAGAGTAAGATCGGGTACCCCTCCGGGGGGTGAGTAGCCAAGATCGGGTGCACCCGGTGGGAATAGGGTCAGGGCCGGGTAGGGGCGGTCGTCGGCCAATCAGATGGCGCCAGGAGGGTGCTGCCGACTGTGAAAAACAAGTGTACCCGATAATGGCCGGATTGGGGCCGGGTGTACCCGATTTTGGCCACTCCTCTTCCATTTATTTTCTTCTCTTTTTCTCGTTTTCTCTCTCTTTTTTTTTTTTTTCTGTTCCACATGGCCTTGTCTCTGCTTGCGTTTAATACCAAGATTGAACCAAGGGGATGTACCTCACTCTCTCCGGCCCGTGATGGTGACTCCTAGTCTCAGTTGTTACCTCGCATAGCGCGCAGAGAGAGGGAGTGGAGGACTCCAGAATATCTGTCGTTGATTTCTATTGACTTGCGGACCCCTCGGGGCCATTTGAGTGTATGTACCTTGTTAGGGTTAGTTAGCCTGCGACCACGGGAATCGACCGCGTCGAGTGTTGGATCAGTACGGACATACGAAGGTACTGACTAGGTAGAGAGAGATCGGAACGGTTTTTAGTGTGAAGACAACTAACAACAACAACAATATCACACTTTTACCCGTCGTTACCCGGTAAATTCCACAATTCCAAGAAAAGCGGCCCGATTGCCGATTGCACCACACCCCCCGAAGCGGCGAAATCTTGTTTCTCACCTTCTCGCTCGCTGGCTATTGCTTGGACCCATAAAGCAAGTCTGACGAGCGCGATCAGCGGCGTGGGGTATCGATGGAGGGCACGCAGAAGCCACAAGTAATGAAAACGGCAGGAGTAGATCTATTGGTCGGCATCGCTGAGATATTGCTTGAGCTGCGCCGGGTGGTGGCTGGTGAGGCGCTCTATGCGGCAGTGAACAACTTCAGGTGTGTGCACATGCTCAGTGCTGCTTTGTAGCACTCAAGGCTCCCCGTGGGGCACCTATGCCGCATGACTCCCTACGTGAGCTGAGTGATATGGGGTGGATGAAGCTTGTGGCCACACCGGTTGAAGCTGGTGTGTAATTGAGTGGACTACACACCCTACAGGCAGTTTGGATTATGTGCGTGGTCGTTCTCTACGCAACCAATCGACGAAGTAGTAGAGATCTTGTCACATCTGTAGACTATGTACTGTACAGGTAGGTATATACGTTGGTATTCTTGGCCCCTTCGGTTGCCCTAGGAGTATGACCGATAATCGGCTCCACGGTGGCTTCTCGAACCACCCTGGGACGCACGAACGCTGCAGAATCCATCGTTGTCGTTAAGTTGTATGTACGACGACACAGGTCTGGAATCCGCCTGTGGCCTGGTTGGTGTACAGATCTCCGCAACCACACAAAAATACTACGCGTGCATGGCGCAACACTTTTCGCTCTCCTGCTGACAACCCGTCGTATTATAGCTGCAGAACACAGCGGTGGAACGTTGTGCTCATCTAACGTGTCTGGAGCGAGATGGGTGGTGGAATGCTCCAGCAGACGCAACTTAGCCGTTGCACCGCGCCTCAATCTGGAAATATATGCCGTTGCCGATCGATAAACGCACTCCTTTACACACACACTATTGCACTCTCGTGTTCAGTCGAGTCGCGATCCGGAGACCAATCGGTCCTGTAGCGTATCTCAGAGGCATCTCGTATGTTCCTAACATGCCATCACGCGGGTGCGGTCTCAAAGAAATGGTGTGTTGACTGTTTGGCTTAGGAATCAGGTCATACTCAGATCCGATAGCAAACACGCGTGCGTACGATGGCATCCAAACAGGTTGAAAAGGCGTTCGTCGCATAACAATGCATGCTTTCCAACGCCCCCAACGGCTGCATCACTGTTGATTTTCTGTGTGAATTGCAGGCGCTGGAATCGCTCCGTTAGAAAGCCACTGGCAGTGAGTAGTTACTCGCTTTCTCCCCAGCAGGCGGAGGATCTGCTCGGCCCGGTGGGGATGCCGTCGACCCTCATCCGGCGCACCTTTGACGCCTTCGCCAGGCGCCGACAACGTTCCTGTTCCTGGTCGCGGGCCCGAGGGGAGGCCCCGGGACGGCGGGTTGACGCCCTGGAGTTGTTTTCCGGGCTTGCGCTGACCTGCAGGGCAACCGTGAAGGTCAAGCTGTCGCTGCTGTTCTCGTTGTTCGACTCCGGCGAAACCGGTGTCCTCACGGTGGACGACCTTGGTGCGATGATTTCGTCTTGTGCGTCATTTCTGCGCAACATTGGACTGTGTCTCCCGATCTCCGGCGACGAGGCCGCTTTTATTGCAGGAGGCGCGTTCGGCCTAGAACAGGGGCGGATAGTGGACTCTTCTAGCAGTGGGCTGAGGTGTGATGCCGATGAGATAAGCCTGCCTGTCTTCCTAGCTTGGGCGCAGCGGGCGGAGTTGCCAGCTCGTACTCTGGAGCTGCTGGCGTTACCGCATCGTCTTTCGAGGACTGTCGATTTGCTCTTGGCCAAGGCTGACTCAATGCTGCAAGAACGATATGTTCCCGGGAGAAAAAACACGAAGTATTTCTCGAAAGGCATCGAGAATTCGACGGAGGAACGTTCGCCTACACGCGTATCGACGCCATTGACCCGCAAAACTATTCTGGAACAGCAAGAGGTGGGAGAAGACAACGATCGGCGGGAACACGACGTCAGCGTTGGCCAAGGGCCCCTTGTGCTCCCTCCGGTGCTGTGCGGGATTGGTGCCCGTCTAGCCCAAATTATGCTCGAGGTAGGTGCGGGCGAGGCACAATCCATTGACGCATTTCCCTGGTCGGTTGCGGTATCAGTGGAAGAAAGGAGAGGGCCTCGCTTCTTTTTCGTCGATTCACAATCGGTTGCTCTTTGCCGTGGCGTGCCTGGGATTCTTGTGCTTTCCGAGCTGAGAGCGGCGACAGACCATCGCGTGAAGATTTCTTGGGGCGTCGATGACGACTCTGAAACCCCAAGGAGTAAGGTGGCACTGCATAGGTTCCACGGTGACCAACACCGCAGGATAGAGTGCGCAACACTCCGATTTACCACACTCCCAGAAGACGCTGTGGTGATCCACCCGGCCTCAGAAAGCAAAGAATCGATTCCGTTAAGGCAGGAAACCTATCCAGGAAAGCACTGCACAATCCTGGCGGAACGGCGATGTATCAAGCTGGTGAGAGTACCTGCTTGCTGCCGTGAAACAAACGTCCGCCCGCTTGAGGCACCTCAGCTTCCTGTGCCTGGACAGTCGAGCAAGTTGACAGACAACTTGTCTTACAGAGAGAGTGTTGCTGTGTTAATCGATTGCGGAAAGCGTACCTCTCTGGAGTCAGCCGACGACAACCGCGCGGTTGGTCCGCACTGGACAGCTTCGGCAAGATCACGTGACAGATCGAGCAACGAAATGGGCTCTGATGTGCTCATGGAAACATGGCCGCTTAAATCGCCACGGAGCGACAACGTTCAAGTACCCCCCGCTGCAGCCGAACGAGCAGATGTGCATTCTCCCAAAGCCGTCTCCGACGTTGCCCCCATCAGTGGGACGGTCTTGTACCAAACGGAGGCATTCGGAGGAGAAGCGCCTCATAGCGAACCCTGGGCTAAAGGAGGCGCCGCCCTGTCGAATAACGTCGACCTCATCGTTCACCTCAGTCCTGACTGGCGGGCGGTGCAGGTTGTACGGCGGTGCTTCCATATTTTGGAGCACTGTCAGTTCCAGAGCCCTTCGCTCAGGGAAGACGGGAGACGCATGGTTTCCGCTGAGATCAACACCGCCGTCAGATCTCTTCTGTTCAAGAGTTTCCGGGAACAGTCGCGGGAGCAGGATAGGGCGAGAAGGAGGTGCGCCCACATGATTCTGGGAGGCTTACAGAACCCTTGGCTGGGTGTCAACGAGGTGAGGTGGCGTTTCAAGAATGCCTGGTGCCGCGATAGGGGCCACAAAACCTTTCTCATACACCATATCTGAGCCAAGTAAAGACGTTGTTGATGAAGCGTGACCGTGCAACACAACAAGAATTTTCCATAGGCTCGGCGCATCACTTGAAAATCGTCAGACATCCTGACATGTTGCGAAAGTGCGGACAGGTTGCTCAGAACAATATGTGTCTAACGAACTACCCCTATAGCGGCATGACTCGAATATAGGTTGCTTCACTGTAATCCTGGCTTCAGTTTCTGGAAATTCTGGCATGTTGATACCAAGCAGGTCCTCATGTCGGACGCAGCGTTCTGTCCGAGGATTAGTTCTGACTACGAGAAAACAGACGGTACTTCCTGTTTCACGCGTTCTGCTTGTCTGGACGCTCGCCTCTTGCCTCAGAATGAACTCATGAACCACGTCGAAAGCCATCGCACAATAGTGCGCTCTGAAATTGAGTTGGCCTTGCAAAAGTACCTCCCGAGGGATGTGGATGCCGGGGACAGAATTGGCGAGAGTGCGAATGTGCCGCCACCAAGAGCGTTTTCAACTGACGGGGGTACGATGGTCATCGGCGGTGGTTGCTTTCTGATCCGCCCACCCAAAGCACCGCAACACGAAAGCGGAATATCATCACCTGCTCGAGATGAAGTCGAAGCAGTTGCTGGAGGCACCGATGGTCCTTCAGGCATTGCGGAGAGCGATCACAATGAAAGTACACAAGAGGATATTGTCCCAACAGCTTCCGCTGCAGCTGCAGCGGAAGACAAGGTGACTGCTGTACCAACCGACCCTCACCTACCCCTTGCCGGAAAAGACGTTACCAATTCGACGGGAAGCAACCGTACTCCTCCGGACGTGACCTCCAACACAGACATCCATGAGGGCGGCCAAACTCTAGCCAATAGCGACTCATCTGCCACAGGTATAGCGGACGACGGGGGTGGTCTTCCACCACGAATCGATCCGCTGCCGACAGCATCCGCCTTGCATGGCGAGTCAGCGCCGCCTGACACTTCTACCGAGAAATCTCTCGTGGGCAATGGCAATCGAGAAATCGATTTCCAGTTGGCAGTCTCAGCAAGTCGTAGTCCTGCCGACAACGATGGGGTCGGAGAAACCGATAGGCAGAGCAAGGACACCTTGGCCCCACAGGCAGTGGCGAAAAACGCCAAAGAAACCTGTTCTCACGGTGATGCTGTGACTGCTGAGGCAGAGGCTGTCGTGAGTGCAAAGCCGGGTATATCAACGGTGGAGACCGTGGTGACCTCGAGTACCAGCGGGCGGGCATCGTTCGCCATCGATGATGCCGACGACTCCACCGAAGCTAGAAGAAGGAAATCGCAGGCTTCGCACGAAGAAGCGGCGATCGCAGTAGTCGATGGTTCAGACCAGCGAGTGGGAAACAGGGTTACAGCCGCGAGGGACATACCTGAGGAGAGAACAGAGAATACAACTGCAAACAATTCGGCATCGCCCATAAAAAAGGCCGGGGAAGAGAGCAGGATGGGTCTGACGGCCAACGGTTGCGGAGGAGACGAGCCTGGCGCGAAGCAAGACCCAAGCTTGCAGCAGAGCGATGAAGCCTCCGACGAACGTTGCTTTAATCCTGCGTTGAGAGGGCTCCTTCGAGACATGACTTGCGCTGCCGAATCGATCGCCGTAGCCGCAAAGTGCCCCTTCACACTAGGTCAGCAACCAGGAGCGACAACGGTAACGTCTGGTTGCACGGGTATTGTCTTCCTAGACGCTCCGCTAATAACACCTGGTCTCCAACCACGGCGTCGCTTCGCCAAGAAGAAAGGCCTGGCACTTTCTCCAATACCGGCGGACGGGTCGTCGCTTGCTGACGAAGGGGTTCGGCGCAAACCTTCTATCCTCCAGAGCGTGGCAGTCTCAACGAGTGCCTCTGACGCCACCGCTGCTACTGCTGTTGCGGAGTTCAAGCGAGGTAGCGACGACTTCAACGTCAACACCTACCCAGCGGCGGAAGCTGCGGTTTCCGTTGAACCTCTGGACGATGGTGATACACAAAACGGTGCCGGTGCCGGCTCCTCCGACGAAGATCATCCGGCAGGGCTGGGTGATCCAATTGAAGTCCTCGAAGCGCTTCTGTCTTGGATAAGGGAGGGAGGTTGCTCGGTGGGTGGACACCGAGAGGTTCTTTTGATTTGTTGCGGGGGCGATGACCCCCGGGACAATGTCAAGGGTGACCGGAACGCCAATGGTGTGGGGAACCAACAAGAATCGGTTGACGACGATCCTGGTGGGGCGTTCAAAGGCCAGGAGAAGAGCGAAAGCGAAGACAGCGCCCATGATCATCTGGATCAGGTCCGTCAGAAATTGTTGGACGACGGACACGTTGAAACAATCAGCGAAAACAAGGCAGTGGGTGGAGGCGATGAAGAAGCGCGTAAGCTTCCCAATAATTCCGATGATGGTGTACAGGGAGAAGAAACCGCAGAAAAAGGTGGTGTTGTTGGTGGTAGTGATGGTGGTAGGGTTAGTGGGTGTGATGGGAATGCCAACGAGATCCCCTCTTCTTCAAGTGAGGACGAAACAGCGGACGACGAGCCAACAGGTGTTATACGACAGATTGTCCTTGGAAGAAAGATCCCAGTTCCCGTCGGTCCTCAGCATCGCGTACAGGGCCTGCCTATCAGTACCGAGGCAGAGGCAGGCGCGAATGTGAAACGGCGAAGTCGCGATGAAGGCGACTCCATGCAGCGCAAGGTGCCCGCGGCAGTGGACAGGATGAGAGGTTCTCCGAACAACGGTCGAAGCCCGCCCAACACCATCGCGCCATCGACACCCACTGGGCTCACACCGCCGCTGCTACCCCTCCCTCCATCGGAGGTGTTGTTGCAGACCCGAACGGTTCCAAATTGTGAGGGCTTGTCCCGGTTGGCGGTGGTGTTTCCTCCCCCTTCACCCGGCACGACTCCCGCATATGTCCCATTGCAAGAAGGAAACGAGAAACGCTCCTCGGAGGGAACACTAGAAGGACATCGTGTTCTACCACACCAGATTGTTCCCCATGCGGAAAATGTGCGAGTACTGGTCGGTCCTGTGATCGGTCGCGTTGGTCCTACCTCCGCCGTGGTGCTAGTTGAAGTTGGCGCAAAATGTCCTGTGGCGGCGCGAAGGACAGCCGCAGCCGACAGGCAGCGGCAGGAGCTCACCGACGCTGACAAAACTCCGCCGGAAGATGATGTAGGGGTGCGATTGGTGGACACGCTGACCAGTGAAAGCAGGGAGATGTTCGGGGGTAGGAGGACCGGGGGGCAACCGGGAATCGGCCCTCGAGTTTTTGAGTTTGAAGGACTCACGCCTGGCCGACGGTACACGCTTCGGTTGTTGGGAGTCCGGCGGCATGATCAGGTGGGTGAATGTGTGAACGTGCATAAGCGTTCGTTTCGCTTCGGTGCGCATATGCCAACTGCCGCAGTATACCACGAAAATATGTCACCCAGCTTTTTGAGCGACTCTCATATGAGCTAAAGTATTCTCGAACCGAAGGCGAATAACAGGAAGTGTTGTGACGCCTTGGTGAATAAGTTTGGGAAATCAAGGGATTTACCGTCCGAACCAAACCCATGAAGGCCTCTTCAAATTTACATCATGCTCTTGAGATGATTCATTCGGAAAGAATATGGCGGTAGGTCGTTAGTACAGCCGATTAGGCTCACTCTCAGATGGATCCCGGGTTAAGAAAGCTGGGAATATATATAAAGTAAGACCCCCCGCGTTCTCCACACTTTCCTCGCTTCCGCCCCGTCCCACCGATGCGCTGCTAACTCAAAGAACAGATCGCAAGAGCGGGAGGGTTGTGTACCCCGCTCATAGGCGAAAGTCCTCCCGCAATGTGGGCATTGTCGCCGCAAATCGTCCCCAAGGAAGCGCTGGAGGAGATTCTGGCCGACGTCCAAACGGCGCGGCCAACGGCAACAGCGACGCTCGCCATCGGCGCCATGGTTGGTCTTTGAATTCTGAACGTTGCCAAAAGCTTGACCTCGTCATAACTGTTCTTTCAAGCTAGAGTACTTCCTTGAAACTAGGTGTCCCAGGTATACCAATCATACCTCTGGTCGAAGGTATGCTGGTGGAGCTGCTTTGTAAAGATACGCATCCCCCCTGTCACGTTTCGGTGCACTGGTTCATCGTTTGTTATTCGTTGCGTTACCCCCGAACATTAACGCACAAGAGTAGTTAACAGTAGATGGACACATTTCGCGCCGTCGGTGGGGGGAGGGAGCTCGTACTGAAGTGTTTCGGGAGCGGGAAGTGCCACGGAGACATGCGAAACAAACGCCAGCGGCCTTCGTCCGGTATACTGTACCCCTCGAGCGTTGCCGCTGCTAGTGCAGTTGCACATTCTTTCTCTTGTATTTTTCTGGCGGGACTTGGAAAATCATCCAAAGTGTCAGTGCTGTCATAGACACCATTCTTCAACCGTGTTCGATAAGGTCGGAAAAATCAATACCGTTAGGCATAACCAACGGCTTGCACGGACTGGGACAGGATGCCGCGCACAAGGTGTGAACGTTGTCATCCCGTCCTTTTTCGGTTATTCCACGCCGGCTCAAATTTGACCAACACTATGTAGTATGCGTCATTGATAAGAAGACTCGGATTGCGCGCGCGCGTGTTCACAGGTGAATGCTTCGAAGATTGGCAACGTGCTTTATCCGCTGGTGATGGCAGAGAAGGGATCGGGATCAAGCAAGCCCGAGGGGGTGCCTATCGGAGTCCGAGCGCTGAACGCTTTTCGCGAATTGTACCGCCACACATGGAACGATCCACAGGTTTGTGGGTGTGAGAGAGAGACAGAGCAACACCGAGGCAGACGGAGGTAAACAGAGATAAGGGAAGACCGACAAACAGACGGAGGGGGAGATGAGAAAACTCTTCGCTCTTTCGACGGTGAAAAAACTCGCAAGACCACCGCATTTCCGAAAAAAACAAGAGCAAGACTGTCGGAAGATCTGCTTTACATTCGCTGTGTGATGGTTAGCTGTAAACAGTACGCTCCGCCACGTGGTGGCTTCGAGCGGTCGATTAACCGACGTGGTCTGGACATACGATTTGTCTCGTCCGACTGCTTGCCCAAAACCGGCTCGACATTCAACTTGGCAAGGTGAACCGTTCGCCAGGAGAATACGTCGTTCTCGTCGACTCTGAACTTGATTCGTCAAAGGTTGCATTCCAACCGCCTAGGGGCGTCAAAACAACCCAGCCAACCAGGGAAGTTCCAGAGAGGTTTTCCGTGAACTACCACAGCACCGACGACAGCTCTCCATCCTGGTGTCGGAAAACCGTGGTACAACGAACCCGACAAGACTTTGCGTTTTCTGTTTATGCCATTCCGACGAAGCTCACTTTTATTCCCAATGTTCCGCACATGTAACCATCGTGAGTTCCTCCTTACCTCCCTCCCTCCTCCCTTCTTCCCTTGTGACGTCTCGAAGATGCGCAAGCTACTCGCCAATACCTCCACAACGCCCTGCTCGGTCGGCGCCGGCGACCTGCTGCTACCCCTGCTGAGAAGGTTTCCGTCCGGCTGGCTACCGCTGCACTCCGCCCCCGTGAACCCCGCGTACGGAAACCTCAAAGGCCCCAGGGCAAGGGGGAGCATAACGATGACAAGAAAATGGAGCAGAAGAAGAGGCAGAAGAAGAAGGGTATTGATGAGGGAGGCCAGGGAGGTCTCGAGGTGCCAGCACGAGGGCGGGGGCGTCGCGGGAGCGCTGGGAGCCGTGGCCAAGGCCGCCTTGCAAGCCTCGAAGGAGTACCAAAAGGCGTTGTTGGGTGGTTCAGCGAACTGCAGTGGTGGTGGCGGTGGCGGATTTGAACGCTTGAGCAACATTGCCCGAGAAGAGAGCACGTGCCGGCCCCTGCCGACTTTCCAGCGGTGGGGGGCTGTTGGGGTGCTCAACATTTCGGTCACATCCTCGCAGGTTGGTTGGGCGCTCGGAGGACGCGACGCTGGGCACGGGCTGCTGTCTCGGGAGACGTGGGCGTGGCTCGAAGACTTCTTCCGGGCCTCCGAGCTAGGTTTGCAGGTACGCACGGAAACTGTGGGAGTGTCAACTGGCAGCTACTGGTGATCCCTCTCCGGGAACGTGTTGCATGTTCTTCGTAAGACCTGAAATCAAAGCCAAGGCTAGGCAATCGAGAAAGCACCTACGCCGGACGGGTGCGAAGATTTCTTGCGGCGATAAGGGTAGCCCCGCGAAACGTTTCGTGCCTACCGGGGGTGGATAGAAAACATGACAGGGTGCTCTGTTGATATTCTCTAGCGATGGGCGCTGTCTCGGTGCTCCCGATCGGGCAAAGGCCAGTGAGGTTGAAACGAATCCTTTCCTGTTGCTGTTACTCACCTCCCCAGCGCGTTCCCGATGGAGACGTCTTCATAGAAAACTTGGCGGACTCGTACCCTTTCGACTCGAACCTTCCTCCTTCGCATACTGGGAGCGGTTTTCATCGGATGGTCTCTGCCCTCAGTATTCCTACTAGATTCGATGGAATGGTCTCGGTGCTCAATACTAAAATATTTCTACTTCATTCGATGGGCAGGAGGGACCCGGTGTGAACACGCTCATCGTCGCTACGGATTCCCCGTTGCTCTGGCGGTCCGCCTCCTCCTTCTCCTCCTCCGTTGCTGCCGCCGCTGCGGCACGTGAACCGGCGGGTGGCGAAAAGGACCACCATCTAGACGAAGGGGTCGGACGACGGCAACGGGCGCCGCCCGGTCGCGTCGACGGCGTCGGTGCAGGCGCGTGCGGGCAACGGGACGAAGAAAGGAAACGGTCGCCGTTCTCAGATGTCTCACGGCAAGGTTCGCGAAACGCCCCTCCTCCTTCGTGGAGTGCGCATCCCCGAGAGGTGGCGTCTCTCCTTTCGCTCCTGTTTTCATGGGCAGCGGCAGACAGCTGCGATGTCGACAAGGATGCCCCAGCCGAGGCTCCTATCACTACTGCCGAGAGGGAGGTGCCGGCCTCCACTGTTGCGCCCACCGTTGCATCCGGTGCATCGAGTTCCGGTGGCTCGAGTACCCAGGGTGCATATTCTCGGCGACGAAACCGAGCAGCTGCAGCAGGAACGGGGCAAGCACGAGGCGCCCGGGGGAGGGTCTTCTCCATCGTGTGCCCCGCGACGCGGGTGCGGATGAACATTCAGAGTTATGTGAAGGACAGGGAGACCGGAAGGGTGGCGACGCAGTGGTGCCTGGCCTCCAAGGAGACGGGTGAGCGAGTGAGGTGTTGTGACGGATGGGTATTGGAGTAGTTCCGATCGTCATGCTGCGAGGAAGACGAAAGATGCGGGTGAAAACTGCGGTTTCAACATCATCGAACATGAAAACTCGAATATGTCGTAGGAGCACTGACATTTTCGGGTTCCAGCGGGTATGTTTGCCACCGCCAGTGTGATACAATATTGCGGCCACATGGGCAGCTTTATGTTTGCCTGGCGGAAACATCATTCTGCTACCGATTCATCGCCATGCTCACTAACTATGACCTCCAAGGCTGTCCGCCAAAACACGCTTAAATTTCCCTCAAATCAACAACCTTCACCCCCCGCCAATCACAGAAATCATCTCCTCTTCTCCCAAACCCGGGTGCCCCACCACCCACCCCACCCGTTTCCTCCACATGTACCACCGCAGGCGACGAGGCCTGTATTCCCATGAACGGAAGCATCGGTCCTCGCTTCTCCTTCACCCACTACCCACAGGGGGGCAAGGCCACCGGGCCGGGAGCAACGCTGGTGCGTCCGATTCCCGACCCGTCCGCACCGTGCGTGATGTTCCTCGGAATGGTGGCTTTGGGGGGAGGGGGAGGCAGCGGCGAAGGCAGAAGTATCGGTGGGGGTAGCGCCACCCGTGGGCCCGGGTTTGCGTTCGGTACTCTAGGACCGATTCTAGGGGAGGTCGGCACTACTACAGCGCGGGTTTTGGTGGAGGTGAGGTGACTTGATTCGTGCTTGTTGCCTCGGAGTTCGTGTTTACTCATTTCAGAGCGTGTCACGCTTCTAGACGGGCCCTTGGTGGATCTCGTCCTATCGTGGGTAAAGGGTAATGGGCCCAGAGAAACGGAGGTGGGGCACTTCATGGTTCTCGCAGAGCGCTGTGCGGTTCAAATGTTTTGAATTAGTGCCCGCGGTGACCAGCAGCACCACGCGACGCTTGCTGCCTTCGTCTTCCATCGGTTGTTCAGCATGCCCTCTCTCCCTCGCACAAAAATCGACGGTACGCCCCCCGGTACTCCCACACCGCCATACAAGTGCATCGCTGTTGCTTTTGCCTTATCCAAAGGTATCGGTACCCATGGAGCTGTGCATGACTGTGCAAAAATCGGGCATCGCTAGGAACGGCAACGTGTCGCAGATGAAGGGGCACAGGCAGCAGATAACGAAAGTCATTCGGATCGCCCACAGACCCGTCGTGTTCGAGGTCTCCGGCTTGATCGCCGACACGAGGTGTGGTATTGGACAACGCACAATCAAGCACAAGCTACTCCGGGGGTGTTGATCTTCGAACCCACAACAGCTCTTTTTCTGCGGGAGAGGATACAGCCATACGTGAAAACAAGAAGGGCGAAGTGGGATGCCGGCGGCAATGCATGCAACGCTGTGGCGCGATAGACCTTGAAATCACCGTTGCTTGGAGTAACTGACAACCCTATTGGCCAAACACCGAGTTGTTGCGTAGCCAACTACGGCTCGTTTCTCCTTGAATCCCAAAGCCTCTTGTGATACGACAGCTGCGGTGAATACCATTTCGGTGTACGACGGTTTACTTGTCTACAGCTTCTGAAACCTTCACAAGAACTCTTCGAACCTCGACGCACCCATCTGACCCCACAATCTACCACCAATAACAATGGCTCGACAGCCTCACTTCGACGAATGTCCGCCCGCCCTCCCCACCAAATTTCAAAAACAATAAAGGTACGAGCTCGACTTCTGGCCACTGGCGAACGCAAATGAATTCCGAGCTAACCTCCGGACGAGACAGCTCCGACCATCCAGCTTCAGGATAGCCGCCTTCGGCGGCTCCCGACACCCATTCGGGTTCATCGCCCCAACCGTAACCGCCTCCGCTGCCGCCGTCTCTGCTGGAAGACGAAAAGTCGCCAATTACAATACAGGGCGTGATACCGCCGACCCGGACAGCAGGGCCGGTGAAAATACCGCCTCTCCCGAGAAAACTCTTTTGGTGCGAGAGAGGTGGCCCTTCTGTGCGTTGGAGGCCGGAGGAGGGCTCAGGGTCATTGGCAGTGGTGTTGACGGAAAGGATGCTGCTATCAGCCGCCCAGAGTCCAACCGCGTGGCTGCGGCCAAGACTGAGTCAGAGAGAGCCCGGAAGCACGACAGAGATAGCGGCAGTGGAGGCGGTGGTGGAGATACGGCAGGGCTGGGGTGTGCGGAGGACTTCGGAGGGGGATGGAGGCATCCAGTGTCGACGTCGTTGGCGATGGGGTTGTTGACGAACGGACCTTGCCTCGAGGAGATGTCGCGCGAAAGGTACGGTATACCACTCCCCTAGAGTACTTCTAGGTCAACGTTTAGTCTCAGCCGTAGCGGTATGCATTTCGCTTGTGGTTAGCAGACCAAGACACAGCGGAGCGGAGGCTCATCACGGCTTGTGCCGGCAGGAGATTTCCTGCTGTAAGAAAGCCCCGTTCACCTGCGTCATCAATGCAGTCGGGGTAATTGCGACCTTCAATCGATGTTATTGCTCTCCTGTAACGGCAAAATAAGTGAATCCCTCGCCTGTTCCTGCTGCTGGATGCTACCCCGTCTAGCCTATTCGGCAACGGCGGAAGCGATGCGATTTCCGTTTGCTTACGGTTCGGCCGCCTGAGCGCTTGGCAGGTCATGGCGGACGAGGTTGAGCTGCCGGCTCAGGGCCTGGACCTGGTCATCCACCTAGGAAACGAGGTGATCTATCGCCGTCCCCCCAATGTGGTTATTGCAATATTTCTGCAAGCACCATGCCCGTTGAAATGGTAGTGGGCGTGTGATCCATGATATTCTAGATCCCACGGAAACCTCTCTTGACCTGAGTATCCTTTGTCTGGCTGTTCACCTGATGAAATGAAGCAAAAAAACATTAAATTATTTCGTCGTAATGAGGTCACCGACCACCCCGTTTTACTCTGGAATGAAGCTCGGCACGCAACGATTCGCACTTTCCGGTCACATCCTGGCGCCACACACAGATAAATTCGACAGCCTCTCTCAACAGGGACGAGGTAGCCGAGGTCGCCGAACACTTCTCCCAGCACGCACGGTTGGGGGGGGTGGAATTCCCTTCGAAGGAGGCGGTCGATCAGTCTGCGCCGATGGAGGCGAGCGGCGACAAAGTCGGGCGCTCACTTCTCGTGCGACCGCCGCAGCTTCCGGTAGAAGACCCGATGGCTCTGGGAGAGAGAGACGAAGAAGATATCTCCCAGCTGGAGGCGTTCATAATCAAGGTAACGTGGCATTTGGCTAGACCACACACTTCCATTTCCGTTTCATTCTCCCGCAAATAATTCCGAACTTGGCGGACTCTCGCTGTGGATCCTTGGCTTCCTGTTTTTCTCCACCGGGTATCCTCGCACGCGAGGCCGCTCATCTGTTGTGATCATTTTGGAGTCGGTTAGGGGTCAAGAGACCCGCCGAAACCTAGTAGGTCCTTAGTCTACGGCTTTGGCAACAACATTTTTAACACCTGGGTGCTGTCGATGTTGCGGTTGGATGGTGTTTCCACCTTCTGTAAAGTCTTGGCAATGCATGATCGCAAACCTTAAGTACAGTTCCTGTTGTATGCAGCTGACACTCGATGTTGTATATTAAAACGTGATGGAGGAAGGCTACAGGATGGCGCAGTACAACTATCAAGCCAAGCAACCCTATTTATGACACCTCTCCCATCGCGTACTTGACAAACTCTCTCCGGGATATCCACCCGAACCACACAAACAACACAAGCTACACGACGAGGCTGAGAAGGACCGCAAGAGGGACGACGGCGACTTCCGCCACCGCCGCATCGAAGAACCTCCCCTCGCGATCCACACGCAACTCCTGGAAGACGAAGGAAAAGAAGATGGAGGAGTGCCGTCTCACGGCGGCCCGGGTCCCGATAGTGATAGGGGCGACGATGCAAGTGACAGTGAGGACGAAGATGCAGGAGGTGGTGAAGGCAATGGAACCATAACCAAGCGGTTTGATGATGATCGTGTTGATGGCGTGGACGGAGCATGGGAGCTTGTTGCGGAAGAGGTGGGTACAACACGGTTGATCCGGCATGTATCGCCACAAGTCGTCCCTGAGCGTAGTGGTTGTTTCATTTCACGTCTTGACTGCCTGGCATATCTCACGCCCACCTTGGGCCCCTTGCTTGCCCTCGGGGCGGTTTGTAAAGCCGTCAGAGCCAAAAGTCAAGCAAAATGATACCGGCGGATAGAAGGGCCATCAAAAAATGGGAAATTGCACACTTCGATGTTCAACTATAAAAAAACAACAACTGTTGTTGGTTAAACCTACAGTGGAGGAAAATGAAGTCTTACCCGCGGTTGATACGTGGACGTGAGTTGAGTTCAATCGTTCACAGATACCTCTGGCCAAAAAAAGAGCATTGTATGCTAGATTAGTGATACTCTCTCTGATATTCCTTGTGTCGGAAACAAACGAAACGAGCTCTACGTGTTGTTTTCCAATGAATGACTTGTCCCCGTGGCCACAAGTACGTTGGTGGTTCCCAGCATGACTACATCTTCGCGGAACCTACCTCTTGCGTGCCTCACTCAAATCTTGGCTGATACTGTTACTGGTTGGTGTCGCGTGCACGGAACGCGAACAAATTTCCGCAGGTGGCGGAGCGCGTGCGAGACCCGTATCGTGTAGCATGGGGGCTTCCGTGGGCCAAAGCGGTAATGGCGAGTGCGCCCAATACTTTACTCGCGTTCACTCCATTGGTGAGTTTCTACAAGAAGTCATTCCATCCGTTTTCGAGGTTCGTATCCGTCAATCGCGTGAGCACATACGTATGTATTCGGAATTAACACCCAGGTTACTTCGATGCTCTGCACACACCGAGAAATTTAGTGCCAGTTACACCCACATGCCCGAATACGAGAGCTACGGCGTACAATTGGAATCAACAGAGTTGATTTTTTTTCTCAATTGTTCAGTCATCAGAACGGTACGAATGATGCCCTCTATCGTGATCCCACGATCGAAGTTTGGATATCGAAGCTGAATTCGCGCGCACTGCTCTCTGAAGCTTCTCCCGCGCTCTATCTGTCTCCTTCACTCGTCCCGGAAAGGATCTTGACGACGGGTGCCAGCCGCTCTCCATGGAACCAGTCGACGAGCAGGGCGCTACTGTGCCGCGTCAACGAGCCTCCACCGACGGCGGGGGGGTTCGTCATTTAGACCACCCCGCTTGCGTAGCCCGAGTTCGAGAGGAACGTCTGCGCGCCTGGGTTGAATATCAGACCGCCCTTGCCCCCGGAGGCGGTAAGACCACCAAGAAAACTCCGGCCCTCGACACGGTAGCAAGCGCGAACGACAAGAGTGGCACCGACGGCGGGGGAGGGGGCAGTAGCAGCAAGAGCGACAAGAGGGAGACGGACAGGGGGTCATACCAGGAGTACGGCGGGGTCGGTGTGCTTATGCTCGATGTGTGGGGCAACCAATCGTGGAGGCTCGACGAGGCAGGGATGGCAACGGCCAAGGGAGGCGACGCCGAAGGCCCTGGGTTTCACCCTAAGGCTCTTCTGTCGAAAAAGTGAGAATGGCGTAGTTCCTAGTTCCAGAAATTCTGTTCAGTTGGGGGTTGATTGCCCAGGATGACCGGGAGAACTCGTTCACCTTCAGTAGGTGTGGACAAGGTGCGCTTCATCGATGTTGTCAACATGTTCCGACCCTTTGGGACAATCTTGTAGCGGTGCATTAGATTTTGCGAAACGGTGCCCTTTCTGTATGAAGTGATGCGCAAGTGTCCTGTGGCCATGCATGAGCGTGTTCTCGAGTTTACTCCCCTTAGTCGTTCCCCCTGACCACCTGGGCCCTCACCACCTGTGAGCGCAGGCAGGAAAAGCTCGTGAACAAGGCGTTAACTTCGTCCACAGCTAACGCGCTCGTAATTTGCTCTGGGACGCCCATGGTGGCCGAGCCCATCGTCCACCCGAAGGTGAACGACATTGAAAATGTTGAGGAACTAGCATGACGAAAGTGGAATACACCCCGCTACATAGTAGTGTCCACATATCCGGTTGAATCCTGAATCTGTCAAAAGCTTCGCATATCGTGCAGGGCCCAGGTTCGTTGTGTAGAGCATTGCGCAGAACCGGTGATACAAAAAAAATAGACTATTGGGGTTGCCCAATCTGAGAATCAGAGCGAATCGGAGACAGCGACATATAGGCTTGCAAGTGTGGTATGTTTTGGGTTGAAGTGAAGAACATAATTGCTATGAGTATGAATATTCTGGGACAACGTCGGGCACGATGACTTTACGAGGAAAAACCGTCAAGAGGCCTACAAGAAGCTCTTGTGTCCTTGCACTATGCAAGATTAGCGCTCCCTGGCGAGAGAGATGGGTGGTCAATCTGTTTGCCACCAAGGAAGCAACACGTTCGTGCGCTTTCTCCGTCCATGGTTTTGGCGAACGTTCCTTGATGCACGGAGTACCACTTACTGTGCACCCCATCGCATACCGCCTTGCTCCGCATTTCCGAATACCGTGCGTCCAAACATGGACAACGCTGCCGTTGTGTACCACGGTTCAATCAACTAGGCCCCACCCCTGAGTGAGGCTGAGCAGAAGAGCAGAGATAAAGCTCTCGACTTCGCCAAGAAGGAGCTCAAAAAGCTTGGCAAGGCCGGACAGGCGGAAATGAAGAGAATGGACGAGGAAGAAAAGGTACTGGTGAAGTGTTGGGAACCCTCAACAGGTGCTATTCGACATCGCGTGGAACAACGTCCGCAACGAGCGCCTGTATTGGTCAAAGATTTGTGTTACTTCTCTCATTCTCGGATGAATCCGCCCTATGTTTCCCGATAGCTTTTTGTGATACAATGTTTGGTAAAAGAAAAGGAGAGCGTCACCTCTGAGGCAAGCTTGGCGTATGTACGCTACCAGAAGCAGTTCGACGTGCGTTGAACCCCCGGCTCGGCGGCAACCGAAGATAACGCAAGAGTGGAGGAGCTTGCACTGTCTTCAAAACGCTTGGTCTCTTCAATAATGCCAGGAAAGACCTCAATATTCATGCGAAAGTGAGATTGCTAACCTGTTGTACGCACTTTCTCGGCGTACTCTTCGACGTTAGATCCCCAAACTGGCGATGTTGTCCCCGGAGGAGGTCGGTGTGATGGATGCCTTCTACGACGAGCTCAGGCCGTGCTATCACTGGAGCTACCACTCCCCGTACCTCCAGGCAAGCAACATTAATGCCACTCTCGAATAAATATACCCACCCCCGTCTATGCCTAGCAGCAGCAAAGGGCCCATGGTTTCTCAGTGATATGTGGCGTGTGTGAGTAAACTCTAGTGCGAGAACATGGCCTAGAGGTTCGCGAGAACGGCATGGTCTTCTTATTTCGCAGCGTGAGTCATGTTCACCATTGCCATCGCTGGTTCTGTCCTATTTTGAGCAGGAGTTGCTCGAGAAGCTTTTCGACTGGGCGAGCGAGGGGGCCATGCCCACCAAGAAGAAGCAGCCCCCGAGGAAGCGGGAGATTGTCCTCCTTTGCGGCGGGACGGGGTACGCACACGGCGCACGGGCATGGGTACTCCATGAGTATCAGACTAGAAAATGAACGCACCTATCCCCCGGATGGTAGTTGTCGTGATGATAAGGGGAGGGGTTGATTGAAAGAAGCCACAGTCTGAGTTGAGAGGGGAGGGAAGTTTGGGATTGAGATACGTGGTGCGCGGGACCCCAGCCGGAACACGAGGCAGGGCTTGTTGGTTTTTGATTAGCTTGGGGAGAAATCTGCAGTCGGTAGGAGGATTAGAGAAAGGTCAAGGTGGCACACCAAGTTTCGAAAGCCTACTGTGTTTAGGTAGAAACCCTAGTGAATTCTGACATAACCATATCTTGCCGTTCTGGTCCGTCGATCAGATGCGGCGTGCGAACGGAAGTGCGGGACAGGCGCACCGGGATTTCATTCACCCAGCTCTGCGTCGGGCGCGTGTCAGACTCTACGGTACCCTGTCCCTGGCCGCGGGCAGCGGGGTCCGTCGGTGACCGAATCGTATTCACCCACAGCCCCATCCAGCACGTGAGCCCGCAAGCTTCCTGTGAAACCGACGCCCACCGACTAGGGAATAGCAGCGACGGCAGCAGCGGCAGCAGCGGCGGCCGAAGCAAGTCAAGCTTCGCCCTTATTACTGTCTTGTCCGAACCACTTGAATCAAGCCTCACGGCGACTTTGGTCCAGCCGCCCGGTGGCGGCCACGCCAAGGCCCCGCCATCGCGCTCGGCAGACATGGAGAACGAGTTGCTGGGCGCGGGTGTTGTTTCGCCACGTCAGGAACAGTCCGACGAGGAGGGCGATGGGGACAGCGATGACGTGGCCGTCATCTTAGGCCCTGTGGTGGGGAGGGTGGAGGTGGTGAAACAGTCGGGGACCGTGCGAGAGAGCTGCCGAGTCCCCGTGTTGCTCGAGGTGGACCGAGAGGGAGAGGTTACGTGTATGGTGAGGAGAAAATTAGATCTACGGATTTCTGAGTCACAGGGGGAACGGGGGACGATAGGTCTAGGAGGGATTCCAGAACGCATGGACGGATCTTTTTCGCTTCATCAAACCCAAACCTTGACACGAGGAGCAGAAAACAGGACGTCTTTGCGCGCTGGTTGCATCTGCAGCCCTCGTCATGACCCAACATTCGCTGACTCGTCTGTTCTATCAGATGCGCGACGTTGCCACGTCGGAGACTTTTCGAGAGGTGCGGTGGATGAAGCGGCGACGCCCAAGAGCGTTCTGGGTGCAAGGCCTGCGCCCCGCGCGACGGTACGCGATTGAGTTCGAAGGTGTCTCGAACAGGAGAGATCGAACCGGTGAGAGCCCCTTGGCGACTACTGCTGCTGCTGTTTCTGTCTCTCAAAAGCTACTCCCTTACATCTGAAATTTGTGGACCCGTTGAACACGGTATCACTAACGTCCATGGAACCCTGTGTAGTCCCAAGGCTCAAACCACTAGGCCTGTCTGGAAAAGTTGCATATATGAAGGCTCTACTGCCGCCTTTGCTCACCTCGCCTTGCCGACTAAACTTTCTCGTTTCTACACAGGGAAAGCAAGCCTGACGCGATCACTACTAATATCTTACACCCAATGCCCGTTCCCAACTCCTTCCTGGTGCTGGTTTCCAGGCTCTCTGACGACCCCAGACAGTTCTCGTCCAGACCTCACCCTGGTGGCCGTATCTCACGACCGTCCTGGGGAGCTTCTCCTGGAAGGGAGCGAGACAAACATGTGGAGTGCCCTGGGCGAGCGGCTACGCTCACCGTGGCAAGGCGTGGAAGCAGTCCTCCACCTCGGCGGCCAAGTACGTGCTGAAAGGGGTTCAGGGGAGAGGGGCAGGGCGCAAAGCTTCGCACGTCTAGGCTTCGCGTTCATGACACGGGACGAAGACGAGAATACAATGCAAGAGGGAGCACTCGAATCGTGCAATGAGATGCGCGAGTCCATTGCAGCGTCTGTCTTTTTTTGTTCCTCTCTTGCCCCTCCCTTCCCCAGCCCTGCACTCACTGTTCATTTCGTTCCGCGTCTCATCTCCTGTTCGTGATCTGTTTTTCTGTGTTATTTCCGGCCGTTCTTGTGCCTGTGTGTATCGTCGTCGGGCAGCTCACGGATCGCCCCCCGGCCCCTGTCTTATTGTCGTTCTTTTTCGTCTCCGTCGGTGGTGTATCGCACCTTGGCCACCTGAGGGCCTCGTGCTCTTCGATTGTACAAAATGTTCCATACCCAGACTGCAACTGCGGCCATGGCTACTTTTGTAGACGATATATCTAGCTGGTATTGCGTTTTTTTTCCTCGAGCGTTGTTCCGAGTGCGTTCTCTGTGAACTATAGATCCATATATAATATGACACCCTGGGCCGTGTTCCTCGGTGTTATTGCTATTCGTATAATTTCTTCCTGTTGCGGCTGATGTGAGAAAAATCAACAAAAGCTCCGGGTGTGGAATTGTTATGTTGTCACTTGCGGCGAATCTACTAGCTCTGACGGAGCTCTCTCTAACTCGGTGGTGCAAACTGTAGACGCAAATAGTTTCTGCTTTCACAGTTTCGAGGTATGTCGTAATCAGCAGGTACGAGACAGATATCGCAGTCCGACGGACACTGAAACAAATGCTCTCAGGTGGATCTCTCAAACGCTTTCGAGGACGGTAAGATCTGCCTGGAGGAAATTGGGAAACGGAGAAAAGCCGGAAAGGCGTCGGAGCGGGAAGAGGTGTCGACGATGGAGTCACTGAAGGAGAGGTTCAGGGAGGAGTACCGTAAGGTAAGAACTTCGCATTCAGCACGAACTCGCCGTTGTTTCATTATGTCGTTTTCCTTGCGAACAAAGAAACTCGTTGTGGATTTCTGCCCCAACAGCCTCCACATCGCTGTGCCTAACGGATTCTGCAATAATAGCCGTCCACAAGCCAAATAAAACTTCTACGTCATCGGTTATGAAGCTCCGCCCCTGCGAGGTCAACACTATTGCGTGGTTGGCCTGCCTCCCGTCAACTTGTCACGGCCGAAACTCTCATCAGGCGTGGAACCAGCCTTCCACGAGGCAGGTCCTGGCGTCCTGCCAGCACATCATGATGTGGGGCCAGGGCGAATGCCGCAGAGGGTACGGAAGGAGAGGGCATGCGGCGGTCTCTTCGTGGGCTGGCAGGAGACTGCTGCGTGCGACGAAAGAAGTGCGTGCTGTGGCGGCTTTCATCTTCATTGGACCTATGTAGTGAGGCAACAAAAACGTGAACGCTTCCAGTTGAAAAGAAGGGCTCATCCGACATGAGCCCGCGCACGTTGAGCACCCAGATACAAGAGGGGTATGCAATAACCTCCAATTATCCATATCCGCCCCCTCCATCACGACGCCGTCTACCAACATCGGCTGTGCATTTGACCCTCGTGGTGTCCGTGCATACGCAGGTGTTCTATGAATACCAGAGGCAGCTTTGGGATCCGTTGTGGGGCTGCCCGTTTCAGGTGCGTGTGCTGACCGAAGCATAGCCTCCTTCACGGCCCTCGTTCGTTTTCGTGAATTCGTTGTCAGTATCCGTTGTCGCCGTCTTTGTCCACGCCGTTACCCTAACGGAATGAATACGTCGCCGCTCCTGTCCAAGTCGTCTAGTGGTATTCTCACCTTTCGTGACAAGTGGCGGCATTGGTGCAAGGTTGGTATTGCTTGGATGGATGCTAGGTTGGTGTTTATGCGATCGACCTAGGGTTGGTAGGCTTGGATAGGTTCTAGGTTGGTGTTACCTGTGTAGGTGCTAGGTTGTATTGGCCTAGTTCGCTCTTGGTTGGGTGGTTCTGTCTGTAAAAAAATGTGTGGGTGCATGGCGTATGTGCGTCCCCATGGGTGCATCGAACTGTCTTTCTTGATTCGCAGCCCTGCTTTATGATAGTGAACACGCTTTTCGTTTTGCCGTCAGCTGCTCTTCACAGTTTCGTTTGTTGCACATCTGTCGGCCCGTGCTGCCACCTGTACAATCGTGTCATTTTTTCTTCAGGTCGGGGACAACGAGTCGTTGTACACGACGTTCCTCGGGGGTAGCGTAAGCATCTTGTATCTCGATGCGCTCGAACTCTCTCCCCAATGGGACTACGGCGGCGGTAGCAGTATTGGCAGCAGTGCAGCCAGCAAGGAGGGTACCGGTAGTAAAACAGTAAGCTCACTGTCGACTCCGGATTTGGGGGCTACTGCTGAGGCACGAGACACGGGAGAAGGACGAAGACCTTCACGCACAGAGAAACCATTTATTGGGGATTCTCAGTGGCAGCGCTTGAGGAAAACCCTCGAGCAGCAGGTATGTGTACGCTTCCGTGCGTGTATGACATGAGATGATCAACTTGGCTGTGGTAAATCTGCGATGCCTACTTGAAATTGTTGCAACACGGTTGGTAGTAATTTAGAGTTAACTTCACCCATTCAGTTTCAAAGAGTCCGTTCTGTATAGGTAAAGGACGATTTCCATGGGGGCCGCAATTGGGGCGTCGCGGTTTCGATCCTGTTGCTTGCCTAGTATCTGTCAGTTTTTCTAGGTGCGTCAATGTCGTCCAACACCCCCTCTAACCCCTGTTGCCGCACGTTGCTGCCCACAGGAAGAACTTGTGACACTGATCGTGGTGACAGAAACCCCCATCGCCTGGCATGACACCGAGGCGTTTGTAGCGGAGACAAAGGTAAGTTTGTCGCAGGAAGGCGCGGATTTTGACCTCTAAGTAGTGAGTAGCGACTAGTGAGCCATCGAAACATCATCCTGGCGAATGCTGATCATGTTTTGTCTAGGCAGCGACGCTTTCGTTCCGAACGCGCCCTTGCTCGCCTAACATACGATGCATGTCGCCAGACTTCCGAGGTCGTTTCCATCATATATTTCGGGGAACACACCCCGCTCAGCGTCAAACACTACAACGGCGCTTGGAGGGATCTGCTAGCTTCCAGTGCTAGTCAGGCAACGATAAACGAGGCAACGATCCACCTCCTTGCCTGCACGCACACCTTGCTTATCACACCGCTCAACCCTGAAATATAACACAGGACGCGGGCACCGGTGGCAACGCCAGCGGCAGCGACAGGCCGGCATCGCACCTAGAAGACCACTGGGCCTCGCGGCCCGTCCAACAGCGCGCTCTCCTCTTGCGCCTGCTGCGATGGAAGGCCGATAACGGGGGCAAGGAAGTCGTCCTCCTCGCCGGGGCCGGGCTCGCCGAAGGCTGCACCGCGGCGGAAACCAGGCTCGAGTACAAGCTGCCCGCTTTGCCGCAGCCGTTGTCGAAGAGGAAGGGGCAGGAAGCAGGGAAGAAGGCGGACGGTGGTGGGCAAGTGGACGAAGAAGACCAGAAACAGGCCCAGAAGAGCGCCAAGCGCCGCCTGATTGGAATCGAGCAGGTGAGAGATTTGTGCCGCTCAAGTGTGGGATGAAGGGAGGCTTGCGGAAAAGAAACTTTGTTGCCAAGGCGACGGGAAAACAGGTTTTCGTGATGAAGAGCCTTCTAACATGGTAAAGGAAAAGGATCACCGCTGGACTAGTTCGGGCAACTGGGAGCAAAATCTCCATCTATTGAAAAAGGGACTGCGATCCGAAGGTCCAGAGACGAGCACCAGCAACATGACCATATTTCATGCCTAACACCGCCAAGTGTATTTTTTTTTTCTTCTCATCATCGGATGCTGTCGTCTGCCCCTCTGGCCCCTATCCTCCACTTCTACTAGCGAGACGACCCAACCGGGGTCACATAGGTGGGGGGGGCTGGACCCCTCCTGCGGTTCCTGCCTGAGGTGTTTTTATCGCGAGAAGGGTACAGCAATCCCTTCCCTCGCGACTTTCGAAGTCGATTATGGTTTACTAACAACGAGCTTGCAACGCGTCGCTTTCATCCTAGACCAGGATTTATTTAGTGAGAAAAACACTCACTCTGCCGGGACTCGAACCCACGACCTGGCCCTTAGCAGGCTGCGCGGTTTCTCACTAGACCACCGGGGCGACCGGTTGTATGTCGCCACATCAATGCCCTGGAAGATGCCATGAGGGCCACGCCCAAAGAACAACGTGTGTTCCCACAACACATACACCCCCCCCCGGCAATCATACTCTTGGCATTTTTAGGTTACGTGCGGTCCCATCACGGCCGAGCCGACGGCACCGTCGGGAACAACTACCGCCAGGGGAGCGTTGTTCGTGCCCCTCACGGAGGCCGAGAAGGCAGAGAAACGCCTGGTGAAGGCCAACAGCTACAAGAACAACAGCAGCGGGGGCAGCAGCAGCGGTGACAACAGCGGCAACAGCGGTGCTCTGCTGGTTGGGGGTGGAGGGGCGCTCAAAGACGAGGAGCCGGTGACATTCACGCATCTCAAGACGTGGGGAAGAAACTACGCCGTTTTGCAGGTTAGCAGGGCGCCGTCAATTTTATCGCTGCGACTATCGCCACCGCGCGAGAGTTGAGGCTCCAGGAGCGAACCTGCTGCAGTGATTGTATTCATTGTAGCGAGATCGAAGTCTTCGCCTCATAGAATTATGTTTGGCGTGTCACGGCAACCTCGGGGGTTAGTTTTGTGTAGTGTTCTGCGTAAACCTCGCACCATCCCTTTCACCGAGGCCACTACCCACGAGACCCGTTTTGCGTCTTTGACAGAGCTCTACAGCGAACATGTCTTACACGCAAGCAGATATGCTTCGTTGGATGCCTAGCAAGCGGGTTCACGACAAATCCCACGAAGACACTCTGCATTCATGATAACCCCGCCTGAATTTTACTCCAGTGCCTGCACACGTTTTACGCACAATCCCTCGCGGAACATATGCCTGGAGTTTGAGAGTCAGGTTTAAACGTCAAAGCAGCCCGTTGCCAGCATCCCTAGATAAGTCAGAGAACATGGTGACCAACACCCATGGCTAGTAGTTCCTGTGTCACTTTCTTATGCATATCATGTTGCATTTCCCTTCTAAAGGTGATTGCTGACAAGGACGAGGAGGGGCCGATTGGCGTCGTGGACAGCGCATTGGTGACGTCCTTGTCCCTAGACAAGAACCATCCTACCAAGGAGCTGGTGCGCCCCCCCAGCTGGTGGTCGCGAAGCTGTATCGGTGACAGGTTCGTCCGAGGCACTTTGGGTTTTAGGCAGGTGCGGGTGCTTCGTTTGCCTCACACAGAGGGAGCGACGCTGCCTTCACCAACCCCCTGTTTTCAGTCTCCAAAGGGAAACCCGGGTCATTCTACCGCGAGCGTTTGTTGTTGTTCTTGTCAACGGTTTTGTAGCTGTCTCACGAAGATCTACTGTAGCAATAATGAAGGATGGTCTCCGCCAAAGGTTCCATGAGAACAACCGCCAACAAGAGGTTGAGATCGGCACGTCCAACGACTGCTCTGCCCACCACGTTGAGAACCGTTGCAATGGTTGATTATTCATTCGTCCAGTCTTCCTACCTTCACCTGTAACATGTGTCAGATTTGTACTTACTGGCACACGGAATGCAGTAGTCCCTGGAGGTATCTTAGGGTGCTGCATTTATCCTTCCATTTTTTTTCGAATGCGCAGAGCGGTCCTTTTCGATGACAACATCTACCTGAAAGGCCGAGGATTCAAAGCCACGATGGACGCCAGGAATTGGCTTGAAACTAATCAAGACTTCACGCAGGTGCGAGAAGGTGGCGAAAACTAACTTCCATGGCTGCAACAGCAAGGAATGCTGGGTCGTGCCGCCTGTTGTCTTGCTGTCGAGGAAAATGTCCGTTGGTGCACCAAACAACGTGAACAACACCATGGGTAGAACTGTGGGGTCAGAGCAGCTCACACTGTTATTGAAACGCGCAACACCACACCGAAGTGTCAGGCTCAACTTCTAGCCCGAACAGCGCTGTACACAACACCGCAGCGCCGTCCATCGAATAGAACTCTTTTATACTTGTTCAACCGAATATTCCGCATGTGATGCCGCATTCGATCCACTGCATGTAGTGCTTGTTCCGGGGCCGTGTGAATGCCTCAGTTCCAGTTCCATAGATTTGCGACCTAATGCGTTATGTGGGTAGCTTGCCAAGCTGAGAGGTTTCCACGTTCGGCTGCGGGGTCAATTTGGGGTGAACGACGCTATCATCTGCGCTCCCTTTGCAGGCTATCCGCAAAAGCTACGACGATTTCCACATTGCTGATTGCGGCCGACGGGTAGAGCTACGCACGATCAGGGTGGAAAAGGCAGCGGTATTGAAGCGGCATGTCGAGGATGGTATCAGGCACGTGAATTCAAGCCAGGCAATGGCATGTGTCCCAACGCTTCCAGCCTTTAAGCAATACCTGGTAGGTTTTGTGTCCATTGAGACCTGTTTCTCGTTCGCACGTTGAGTTCAGTGGCGATATTGCTGCTGTTAGGAAGATTGGTCCGTTCTCGGTGTAGAACAATCCATTCATCCGCTGACGGAGAGACGTTGACAACGGATAGATCCTTAGCCGTCAATTTTGACCGTGTACGCTCTCTTGACGTTAAGGGAAAAATACTGCGTACGATCGCCAAGAACTGCAGAGCGCGATCTGAACTCGCTATTGTACGGGCAAGACATACTTTGAGCTGTTTCCTTTCGACACGGTTTGTTATCGCACGTCATTTGGCACTACGTTCTTGATCCACCTTCGGTATGCAGGGAACCAAAGACGGGTTATTCTGCATGCATTCGTGTTTCGGAAGTCTAGGCAAATGAAATGTATTGTCTCCGTTCGGTCGTTCCCGCCGCCCCCCCCCCTGCCGTACGAAAACAAATCAAACGACAACATCATTTAGGGCCGTTTTCCGAACTCTACCGGCGGAAGTGGCTGGCGAGCTGGCCTACGTTCACGACCAAATGATCCTCGACTTCCTGATGATAAAGGTGCAATGAGATGTACTTGTGAAATGAAGCAACACCTCCGTGTAAGCAACGATCTGGCCCGTACCTTGGCAGTTGTGCACCTCAACCGTGAGCAGTTCACCGTGAACGGTACTTGTGCGCCTGACCTCCGCTGGGCCGTCAACTCTGTGTCGGGGATCCCACAACGGGGAAGTTGCTGTGAGCGTTCATTCTCGTGATGACGTGGAATAGGCGTTGATGATCGTTTTCCTGCGCCTGGTGTTGTGCTTCGTTCCACCGTTGAGGAATGGGGCGTCACAACCTGATGCCTCGGCTGTCGAGGAGTCATACGGCATAACCCAGGCACAGAACATTGTTTTGCTGCGTGCCATGGGCGGTACGGTGTTTGGCCTTAGAAGAGGACCGTACGCCAACATCAGCACCACGAATGAGGCCTAAACATTGCCCCAGGTGGTTTCGTTACGCAGCCCCGTACAAAAAAATCGCCTCCAAGGTGACATTTGTGGCGTATAATGTTACGTGTTGGGGGTATTTCGGAGCCATCGACGTGAGCACCTTCGTCCCGCTACACGAGAAAAGCATCTACCTGCGCGCCACCCCCTTCCCAACAGCTCCTACGTAACCCGTGATTGTGTGCACCCTTTTTGGTCTGCCTTTCTACGACAAAGGCGTGTCCGGAAGTGAAGGCGTCGGCCCTGGACACAGCGGAGAAATGGGAAGAGGTCTGCCGACAGATTTGCGTACAAGCGGCATATATTCGGGTGGCCGCGTTGTGGGCAGAGGAGGTAAAACAAAGAAGCAACTAACACACAATCAAAGTGCACCAGTCTCGAGCTGATTCGCAAATTATTGCTACGATAGTGCAGGAAATGCTACGCAACGAGAGGAGGTAGTATGGTGAAGGTATCGAGGACTTGCGCTCTGCCCCGGTCCTAGTTGTATCAAGGGAAAATAGTAGAAGTATTCTCATAGTCGGAAGGCCCATGCTTCGGTGCCTGCGTATCGTCAGGCGTAGGTGGAAGGTTTTAGTATCCTTGTGCATGTTCTCGACTACTCGTGTTGGTGTTCGCTTTAACAACGTAGTAGTTGACCATGTATGAACATCAATCTCTTGGTCATCCATCGTCTGCGTGCTGGATTTTCTTGGACGCGAGCAACTTCGTGTCCACGAGCTCAACGTTGACCAAATCGATGGAAACTGCTTCAATCCGGCCCTGACTGCGTACTGACTAAGGCACAGTCGAGTGAAACGTAAGCCACAGGGCTATTGATGATGTGCCACTCCTTGTACGCCTTTTCACGCAAGTGGTGTTTACGGAGGCATGAAAAATTGGTCAATACCAGAGACGGGGCTTGTAGTAGATGCTTCGTTCGGTCTCGATTTTCAGGAAGAGGAGGTCGTATTGATGGCGGACGCCCGTGCCGAGGAGGGAGTGCGTAAGGCGGAAGCGAAGCTGAAAAAACAGCGTGAGCAGGAGGTCGAAGACGCCGAAAAAGATGCCGCTGAGATGGCCCACCTCATGGCAAACGACCCCGAGGTGCGTTTTGTTTACACCCCTGCCTTCAATCCCGTGCCCCCCTTATCTATATTTGTTTCGAACACGTTCCCCTTTCCCAAACAATAACAAGGAGTCGTAATCGGGAGGCAGGGTCCCACCGACGCT